GATTATAGTATGAAACGGCTTGACATTTTATTCATAAGACAAACATAAGGACAAAGCCTGCTGTACATGCACAAAAAGACAGAGGTCACCTTAGTCTGCTGAGGCAGGAAAACAGCTTCAGGGCCCAAACGCAAGAATCCTAACTCTGAGAAGTGCGGGTCCGTTTGCAACAATCATTTAAACGCAGACAGTTAGGCTTTCATGCATCGGTGGCAGGCAGAAGTCCCAACACGGGCATAGCCCGCAACATGAGAAGCATAACCACACGAAAAGAATAATCCAATAATCCAACACGACATATGGTGACGACATGACAACAGTACAGGAGACTCGGACATGTACAGATGCATACAAGCAGGAAGGGAAATAAAACAGGTGGAACACATTATTATTATTTTTTTATTTTTTATTATTATACCTTTATTTTACCAGGCAACTTAAGTAAGAATAGATTCTTATTCACAATAACAGTCCGGCAGGAGACGAAGGCCCCTGTGGAAAAAGGGTACTGGATTAGAAGAGACTGTAAGAGACGGAAGAAGGATGAAGTAGACATCCTAAATACATTAGTGTAATCAAGACAAGAAGTGGACCCACACCAGAGACACACGATTACCAAACTAAAACAGGAAACGGGACAACACACAGAGACACGGAACTAACAGACAGAACACCCACTGACCAAAATCGAAAACAGACTAACGAGAATAACACCCAACACAGACTGTACCAAAATAACCAGAACCAGCAAGCACAGAGACAAACAACCAGACATACAGAGCAGATCCTGACAGTAACAGACTCGAGGATTATCAGTATTCACATGAAATCATGTGACCTGGTGAGGTGCAGGGCAGTTAGATTACAGAATGTGTAATAGCTATAGCTGTAGCTAATAACTTTCTGCCTAACTATTTAATGTGAGATTTACCAGTGATAGACATGAAATCTGTGACTATGTATATCATGCAATGTGTTTTAGAAAGAAGTCAGGATTTTAGATCCTCAGGCAAAGGCACAGGTCAGGCAGCTTAAAATAAATCCATGGTCCTTGCTTTGGCATCCAAAAAGACTGGGCCAAATTGGGTCCTCACAGACATTTAGACACTAATCTAAAATATTACCACCCATGCAGACAATGTGACGCCCATGTGTGGCTCGATTGTGTATGTTTGTCAGTACTGCAATGGTGATGTGGTTTTCAGTTTGAGGATCTGATTGCAGTGTTTCCTCCCCGATCGGGAACACCTGGTCCCAGTGCTCCACAGGAGATAAAAGCTCCACCTCCAAGATCATGTCTCTCTCTCATCCTCCCTGCCAGCAGATCATCCACACTTACACTACTGATGTTGCTGACTAACCCATCCCATAATATAAGCGTTATTTTGACCATCTTATGTTACAATAAACCTTGTTAATTGAATCGCTGTGCCCTTTCCCACTTTGTCATGGCCTTCCAGCCTGGTCATGACAACAATAAGAGGGGCAACTCAGTCTATGGCATTGCTGAGAAACAGAACACATATGAAGGATATAAGGCTCGACAAGTCTTCTGGTGACACTGCTGAGATCTGGGAACACTGCTGGGGACATTGCTAAGGAAGTCAGACGGGGCATGAAACTACGGAAATGATGACACAAACTGTGAAGATAAATGCCAATAAACCAGAATCTTTTTTTTTGCTAGGTTGGCTCACTTTTCTAAGAGCAGTTTATTTTGTTATTTGGCTCCAACCTGACCAGCCCCGACTAACCAAGAAGTTTGTATTTGAATCCCAAATATGTGTTCAAATACAATAATGGGTGGGGTGTGTTAATTTGGGACTGGAGGCTGTTCGGGATGGGACATGGGCTGTGACTTCCAGTTATCCAGGTTAGTCAGGTTTCTTTGGATGATGGATAGCATTTTGAAGTGAATTTAGTCTTGCTTGTTTTTGGAATATCGATGTCGTAACAAAACTTCGGGTCGAGGTTGTGACTCTAGATCATTTTTTTGTTAAGATGTTTCAGATTATATGGACTATTCCATTACATGTGATTTTATATGCTTGAATAGGACTACATGATTGATGATTATTTATTAAATTACACATCTTATTATTATATTAAATTATTTGAAAATAAAATTAACATCTATGTTGTTGTCCTAAATTACTTGCAATAGTATCTGGCAGGACTTCAGATAGCTGACAAACTGATATAAATGTATTGCAGGGAGAGGAAGGCAGTGCCGCATCCATGTTGCTCCTGAAAACAATTGACACAAGACTCCTCCACTTCCCCAAGGAGCACTCCAACACTGCCACCAGTGACTCTCAGCCACCCACATCTTCTTCTGATAGGTCTTCAATGACAAACAATCATAAGTTGTTAATCACAACCAGCTGTTTAGTAGCCAATTCACTACAGAAAGGTGGCAAGCAATGAAGTTACTGAAATGCAGGGGCGTTTTTAGGATCTTGAAACATTGGGGGCTAAGCCCAGCCCATAAAACTTCATATCTTCACACATAATAATTGACCCTCCACCAAGCAGTAAAGCAACAGTAAACATCCTCTACTACTATGCGGCCAAACAAAACTCACAACAACACTGTTAACTGTGTCATGTCTGCTAAATTGTAATGTCATGTGTGTAAATCAATTAATATAACAACAAAACTGCGACAGTATGAACCGGGAGGTCAGGGGATGTTAAACACTTAATTTTCTGCATTCTGATGTTTTTCTGCACCAATTTCTGCCTTTTTTGCATCAATTTATTGTGGAAATTATTAATGTAAAGGGACGCACAAAATTCAGGTAGCTCGCAGGGGGCTGTATCTTTGTTTCACTGTTGCTTTTAAATGACTTGAAGGCTGGCAATTCTGCCTTCAGATGTTATGACTGATTTGATCATCCTTGTTGCTGAATTGTGGTGAATATTTTAGAACATTTTGATATTTTATGAAATTGTAACTGATTTTTTATTCCCATCTTAAATGTGCAATTGTACTACTGCCTGCCTTGGCCAGGACACTTTTGGAAAAAGAGTTTTGGGGTTTAATAAAGGTTTAATAAAACAATACTATTCTCACTTCTGAATCAACACTCACACAGGCGTGACTGATTGAGGTAACCTCTTTAAATGTGCATGTGGCACCTTTTTTTTACCTCATCAATAATAAATGAAATGATTTTAATTCAGTTATAAACTCCTGGACTTTAATAGCTCCTGTGTTTCAGCAGGTTTTCTGCTCATGTTCAAAGTTCTTCACGTTCAGAATCTAAGCGGGTTCTCCAAAACCAATTTCACCGGCGACATTCTCACCGTCGGACATCGCTATAAAACAAATAGATACCGATGTGTAAAGAAAAGAAACAGGCTAATGTCCAAAGCATGCTCTGTTCAACAACAGGACACTTAATATATCTCAGTCAATTGATCATCTGACATAGATGTTACAGTGTGTAGCCTAGTCTTCATTTGCTCTGCAGAGACTAAAGACGCTTTTAATGCGCCAGTAGTGGAAAGTCAAAGTGTTTCACTTGCCGACTTGTGAAAGTGATGGTGTGCGCTCACTGGATTTCAGTTGTAGTAGAACAATAAAGCCTTAAACTGAAAAGATATCTGCCAGATTTTCTAAATGTTTGCATCTGCCCAGCTCTGCGACTGTGACAAGCGGCCGACCAGCGCTTTACTGTGTAACTTCGCGCACACAGCCTGGATGAGCTGATTTCGGTTAGTGAAGGAAAATGCAGATTACAGACTCCGCTAATTTGCAGGAGAATAAATAATAACAATAATCTCTCTCTCGCTGGCTCCGTAACGTTAGTTCAGTGAGTAAAGTTAAATTTTCTGCCTTTTGTTGTTTGTTTTTTAAAAATCCTTCTGAGATCCGGGGCTTTAGCAAATAAACAGCTGATTCAGGTTGCTAACGTTTAACCGCAATGATTCTACCGCATTGGTCTTAGACTGCAATCCAGATATATGACATTATTTGCATTTAATGTTATTGCACACACATACACACACACACAATGTTGCTGTTTTGAAAAGAGGACAGCGACACGATATGAGAGATGGAGTACCTAAACATAATCGCTGTATCTGCACTCATTAGATGTCAAATCAGTTTTAAATGAAAGATGAGCTAGTCTACATTTGAATTGTTTTAAAGTCTCAGCACCTTTTGTAGTTTACAGTGTGTGTGCATTATGAAAAATGGGTGACTGAGCCTGAGACTCTCTCAGATCCCTTCCCTGAGTCGCCCCTATCCCTCCCTCTCATGTCTGAAGTCTCAAAGTAGGAAGTGTAATAATTATGTGTTTTTATAAGGAAGGACTTTGTTATAGCAGCTTTATCCAACTTAATCCTGGCTTATCCTCCACGAACGACTGTCTCCGTTCACCAGTTTGCGTGCTGAGCTGAACGTGGTAGCGTGTTTCAGTTCAGTAAGTGAGACTCTGGTCAAGCACCAAACAATTCGGTGAACAAATCTCTTAAACAGATCTTTTGAATTAACTGATTCTAATGATTTAGTACACTGAGAAGTACTGCTGAGAAGAATTGCCCATTACTGTTGGGAGTGGAATAACTAGGTGCAGTTCCTCTGTTATGCTGTTACTAATCCTCTGTGATACTGCAGAGCTGTTCTGCTGTGCTTCACTTGACAGCAGGTGTTTTCACAAACGGGAGTGAAAGCAGAAATTCAAAAATGAACCATTCGTGCTGTGAGGATTTGCTCTTGCACTCCTATCACAATGCAAGCACAGTGCCACAGCTGAAAACAAATGACAGAATTCCCTATGATAATAAGTCTTTCCACATGCAATTTGCAGTTCAATACCTCTCCTCTGCAACTGTCAACATTATGTCAATGTTTTCAAGCTGACGCTTAACTTTTTGTCTTAATTTAAACCATGCCTTCTGTACACACAGGCACACATGTGAAGCAGCCGCAGCACTTCCTCTTTCTTCGCAAATAGAGAGTGAAAATAGCTTTACTTCTGGTCAAAATAACAAGTACGCTGCTTTCATCCAACAGACGAGACAGACACCAACTGCAGGACCCAGCAGCGCTTTCACCCGCAGCAGAAAGTATACTTAAGCTGTAGTTGCAGCACATTTGGAGGCACTGTTATAGACCGTATTTGTTACTGTTATTACCAACTAAGAGGTAAGATGTGAAAGGATGCAGCTGTTATGTATTCAGTGTAGTTACACTCATGTAAAGTGGTATGTTCATCATCTTTTCCCATAGATAACCTGGACCTGGCACACGGCAAAGAGATGCAGCTCCTGATTCATTTCACTTTGGTGTCGATTGTTTTGACCTCGATTCTGAAAACCCTAGACTCAGACCAAGAGCTGCAGGACAGTGGGTTCGGTCAACCGCCGCCTCGCCACGGCCTGAAGTTGCTGGTGTGGTACGTACAGAACTGCCTGGACAACAACATGGTGGCTCTGTGTGATCCCACTCGCGGAGAGTACGGATTTCATGTGTTTCTGAACCGAGGGCCCAAGCATCTGCTTCCAGTGATAAAGGACAAAAAGCAATACAGGTACTACACCATCGGAAACCTCCACGCTCCTCATGCCGAGGACCTGCCATATGAAGTAAGGAAGTACTACAACCGCAGCGACCCTGAAAGTAACATGGACAGAGTTTTGGTGATATACAACAACAACAATAAACACATTGAGGAGATCTACGCATCTGCACATTATAAGGCAAAAGAGACATACAAAATTGGCCCCAATCTTCTTGCCTCTCTTCGACAGCCATTTGCTTTCATTAGCATAGAAATGTAATGATGCAAAATATCTCTGACATCTTTAAAAGCTGTGTGACTCTTTATGAATCCTGATGGAATTCCAAACATGTTTTAAACAATCTTGATGGATGTATTTGGCTTCTGCTTATCTTTGGGGGGGTAGTGCTAGACTAGCTTTTGACGAGCTGTTAAGGATTGAATTTGAGTCAGGAAAGTGTGTGTGTAAAGCTGCACAGCCTGCCTGCTTGTAAAATATACAGTACAGAATGCTTTGAGGAAGTTTCTTTAGCCAAATAAAAGAAGTTCAAATGTGCTGCTTAAGAATATTTTTCTTCAATAATCGAGTGATGGAGTGTGTGGGTGTGTGTGTGTGTGTGTGTAATTCTATGAAAAAGTTGCCTCTCCAGACTTTTACCCTCCTCCCCTTCAGTCTTTGCTAATATTTTCATTTATGCTCACTGAGGCAGGGGTCTCCCTTCCTTGGCTGCCCCCAAGCCCTTTGGGAGGAAGCTGGTTGTTGGAGGTTACACTCCATCACTACCCATCCAACAGCCACCAAACTCAGTGGGAGAGAGCCTGTTCATGTGGAGAAAGATAGTTTTTCTCCATTTGCAGGAGTACAGAAGCTTTGGGAGAGTATATTATAACAGTATATTTGTCAGGGACCAAATAGTCAAGAAATGAGAACAAGAGTTTTTGTTGAAAAAGGTTTTTTTGTAGAATACAATAGACAATAGAACAATAAACAATAGAAACCAATAATTTTACATCTACGCCTATAAATGAGGTCAACAAAATGTAACTATACTCAACAGCAAACAACAAAACAGGATATAAACTGAACAAACTGACCTAACTGAATGATTCACAAAGGCTTGGCCAAACCAATTTAGACACAAGGGGAAAACAAAATGGGCGCCAACTTCAACTACTACAAAGTAAAATAAACTCAACTCAAAATCCCCCTCCAACAAGGCAGCACATGGTACGGTTTGATTGGCAGGCCGCAGGATATAACAGTGCTCCAGGCCTGTCTTCCACCAGGACAGACCTCCCTCCAACATGGTAACACAAAAAACAATAATGATTAATGTAACAAAAAATATTTACTTTAACCTTACATTGTGAAAATGTGTGCGCTCCATTTAAACAGTGTTTGGCTAAAGCAAATAAATGTATATTACAAGTGAAATAAACTGTGTAATTTGTAATTGATGCTTTGCTAAGCCACGCCCCCTTAGTTACTGTTGCTAAGTCCGACAAACTGCGGGATCAGACTTTTATCACAGCGCTGCCACTGTCTACTGTAACTGCGCTCCCTGGAGAAATATTGTCTACTTTTTGGAAAAAGCGATGTCAGAAAGAAGCAGACAGTTTTGCATTTGCATTGTGTATTTAAAAGGTTTTATTCAGGCTGTCAAACTGACTTGAAAAAAATAAAGACAGAAGCTAAGGGTCAATTGGAAAGCATGAATTGTTTGGGGTGTGGCTAACTGCAAAAAGAACTTAACTTGTGTACTTAACAAAACAAGATAGACTTGTGTACTGTATTACCATAAGTTGCTGTTACCCTGTTGTGGTTTGGGCCATCACAATATTCTACTATAAGACATTATCAATAATAAAAATAAGAATAGATTGACTAATAGCAATAAGATAAGATGTACCTTTATTAATAAATTCGTGTTAACACAGCAGCACAGAGGAATGTAAAAAACAAAAATGCAATAAAGTAGAATCACATTCTTAAGTAGATGTATAAATAATATACACACTGTATACACACTATGTACAATCAATTTACAATATACAATAACACTAATAACATTCAGAATAGAGTCAAAAATAGAGTCTGCCAGTTGGGTGCTGTGGCGTTGTAGAGTCTGATGGCTCATGGCACAAATGAGCCTCCAAAGCACTTAGAGGCTCGGGCCTGGATGAGTCTGCAGCTGAAGGAGCTCCAGAGCTGCCTCAGCTCAGCATAGAGAGGATGAGAGCAGTTGTTCATGATGGCTTTCAGCTTCCCTCTCATCCTCCTCTCAGTCACTGCCTGCTCACGGCCTGCTCGGTCCTTTCCTGTAAAGGGCCTCAGTGTTGTCTGTCCAGTGTAGTTTGTTGCTTAGTTGCATCCCGAGAAAATCAAATAAAGAAAAAAATAAGAAAAACAACTAATACTACTTCCACCCTCGTATGGGAAGACTATCCTGCCACGTTTCAAAACTGAAAAAAAGTTCTGAAAGGTGCTTGAAAACTCAAAATCTTATAAAAAAAGTTTTGCTAGATCAAAAACTTTTTTGAAGGCTTGCAAAGTGTTAAACAAAATTAAAATCATTATATAACATTACTTCGTATTTGAGTTTTTCTTCTTCAGAACTGCAACACTTTTTTAGGATACAATTTTTTTCCAATTTGTCACTGTTCTTCCAGAGTATTATTTTGTTTTTCGGGTTTGAAAACTTGTAAATGTTGGTCTGAAAACTGGTGTGTGCATGTTGGGAAAAAAGTTTTGAAACTCTGAAAATTGAGGTTCGAAATGGCGAGTCTTTATTACATTACATTACATTTACACTATTGCAGGTTATTTTTTCAGAGCTCACTTTAAAACACCCACTTTGCGGACCCCAAGAGTTGCGAGCTTGCGACTCATTGTGCGTGATTTGTGGCAGCGCTGTCACGCAGCTCTGCTCTGAAACAGACCGAAACAGACTCGTAACTGTGGGTCTGAAAAAAAAGAAGGACAAAAAGCCTGGAGGCAGGGGCATTGCGCTCTTGGCCAATGCCTTGCTGTCTGCTGAAGTACAGTCCAATCACAAGTCGTATTTACTGGTGGGATTGATAGACTGCTCCGCCAATGACAGACGGGCACATGATACATGTTAAGGAAGAGCGGCTCCCTGTCTCCGTCCAAGCAGTGCATGGATGTGGACAGAAATCTGCAACGGGTTGTAGCTCAGGGTGGGTTGTTCATCTGAGCGATGTCACCCGTGGTGTTGTGTAACTAAACTAGCAATGAGTAAGAAATAGTATAAATAATACATGTAATTTGTTAAGCTATGAGGAGATTAAAAGTCCACTAGCCACTAGGCTAATTTATTCAGTGTATAATAATGGAGACTATCAACCAGACAAATCTTGACAGTTATTAAGCCAAATTTTATGCTTTTATTAAATGCCATGTTTGCCATGAAGCCATGTTTATATGTGGTAGTGGAAACAAATTTAAAGTTAAGTTTACTGCACTTAACCAGTAACAATTATTTGTGTGTTGTCTTTTATGACGTAAAGCACAGAAAATGAGGTAGAATGCTGGTCATCACTCACAGGAGGGTAATCAAGAAGCAAAGCAGGAGACCCACACCAGAGACAGACGATTAGTAATCACAAGCAAGTATAGCATTAGGGCTGAAACAATTCCTCAAGAAATCCGAACTTGATTACTAAAAATCATCAATGCAAAGTCTTTGCTGCAGCCTTCCATCCATCCATCGTCAATCGCTTATCCTGCGTACAGGGGGGGCTGGAGCCAATCCCAGCTGACAGCGGGCGAAAAGCAGGGTTCACCCTGGACAGGTCGCCAAGACAAACAATCACAGTCACACTCACACCTAAGGACAATTTGATGTTCAGACAATTTAGAGTCACCAATCAACCTAGGCTGCATGTCTTTGGACGGTGGGAGGAAGCCGGAGCACCCGGAGAAAACCCACGCAGACACGGGGAGAAGATGACTTTCCCTGTACAAATCGCAGAGGGAGAAAACAGCATGCAGCATTATTTAAATAAATGAGAAAATAAAGGAAGTAAACGTAATCAATGAGGTTATAGAAAAGAAAGAAAAGTGTGTTGTTTGGTACAAATTTCTTCAGAGGATTTAAAATGTTATTACCTTACTTTCAAGGTCAAAAAGAACCACAAAAACAAAAAAAACTCTCCACAGAGCTTTAGAAATTTGTATGAACTCCAATATCAGCTTGAATAGCAGGCAGTCAATCAAAATGTTGACTTTAATGAGTTGTGAAACAAGGCAGCATACCCCTTCATGGCCAAAAGGCACAAACTCTTGCAAAACTCACTTTCAATATTATGATGACAAAGCACCCTCATGCCTGCAGACCTCAAAACCCACAGAAAGGCCTCATTCATCTTCTGTTCTCCTCTGTTGCCAATGGGAGGACACCATTTGGACCGCTGTACGCTCACAGGTTGAATTCAGATTTTATTTGATACTCCCACTGGAAATATAATAGGGCTCTTGAAAGAGCCCATGAACAAGCCGGACCAATCTGAGCAGATAAGAGAGATTTATAGGGTCCGTCACTTTGTACAGAAATATGTGGAACATTAAAGATACCCTGTCTGATTTTATTATTGTACCCCCAGGTGCCTCGAAACCCCAAGATGTCCTCTCAGCTTACTGTTGAAATGTTAAAACGGAATTCATGTACATGCACAATTAAAGCAACATTATGTAACGTGGTTTTTAGTGAGATTTTGCACCCCTACTGTTTTAGAGTGTAATTCACAGCTGTCATAAATAAGGACAGCTGTACATTTGTTATCATTACATTACTTATGATCAAAATCTAGAAAGTCAACAACTTTGCTAACACAGCCAAACACCAAGCATTACATTTAGCTTACACTTTAATCCAAAGCGACTTACAATTGCTAAATATGTCAGAGGTCGCACGCCTCTGGAGCAACTAGGGGTTTAGTGTCTTGCTCAGGGACACAATGGTGGATGTGTCACAGTTATCTGGTCTTATCCACTGCGCCATCACCACCCCCAGCAAGTGCGCCAACACAAGACACAGCAATGTTACTTACTAGTCCAACAGAAAGAACGCCAGCTCTGCATCTGTACGGCAGCGTTTTATTTCACGAAGCTCTCACCAACATCCAGCAGCCTCTAGCTTGGTCACTCTGTTTTTTTCTTCTTAGCTTCCTCCGTCAACTTCCACTTCGGCCTCTTCACCGCTGCCATTAGCTAACATTATGTCCACAAAGGCTGCTGAACCCGGTCAAAAACCGACGCTGTCGTAATGTTGCTTGAAACTTGGGTGGCAAGCTGCCCAACAAAGTTACACAGCAACCGATGCAACAGCACTGTGATCCATATCGCCTTTCTAGTCTTTTCGATCACTCAATGCGCTTTTAAACTACATTACATTCACACACATTCACACACTGGCGGAACAGCCGCCAGGGGCAATTCGGGGTTCGGTATCTTGCCCAAAGACACTTCGACATGCAGCCTGGGGGAACCGGGGAGTCAACCGCCGACCTTCTGATTAACTACCTCCTGAGCCACAGCCGCCCTA